GCTCGTACGCGTACAGATCGAGCTTAACTTGCACTTCTAGCTTGTGCTAGACGTATTTCGCGGTGGTTCACCACATGCTATACACCAGTTTCACCGTTTTTTCTCGTTTGTTAAAAACAAGCATTTGTCCGACTTTATACATTCGCTGTGCTATTAAAGTCGGAATACAAAACTGCTTCTTTCATTGCTACTATGGCGCGAGTGTAAAGCATTCATTTTTGTCCTGGTATCTCATTCCCTCCGGGTAATGTTCACTGTTGGATTTAAAATCAATACAATCGAAAAGAACGTGTAAGGTTGGTAAACCTTTGACCCCGTTGGCGGGAAACCAAAGTAGATCGGTTTGACCAACGTACACAGACCTCATGCATTTTCGTACAGCTGTTGCCCTCCATATTCGTTCCTTGACTCGGAAGCAGGATCTGCAATTAAAATGTAGCGTGTCAGACGGCTATTCATAACCAGTGATTAATCAATTGCAGCAGTGCAGGTCAATTTCTACAGTCATTAACTGTGCGATTTCTTGCGGCTGTGTCCGTTGCCTTTTTGTTACTTATTCAGATAAAGGAGAAAAGGAAAGATTGTTGGAAGGAGTGCGAATACAAAGATGGAGTATTCAGGTAGTCGGATAAGAGCTTTGGGATAGACTGAATCATCAAATGCCTTTGGGCTCGAGTAGTTACGTGATTGCTGCGGACGTTGCGACTCGAACAGAATTGAAAATGCAATCGAATCCATAACTGCGTACAAAAATTCCAACCTGCTCTTTAAGGCTACTTTTCTCCCGTTGAAGTTCGATGGAAAACTGTCACAGTCTAGTGACCGTGATAATCGGTAGAATACTTCAAATACCCATCGCCTATTCCTTTTTGGATTTTGGAAATAAACTACCAATCCTTCATGAACATGCTGACCCACTTTCTCACTCTGTCCTCTGGAAGCTCTTGGATTGGCTGCTTGCCCCTTCCCATCGATAGAAATTTCAAAATAAGTCGTATGGTTTTTATTACTGTATTATTAAACGAATCTGGAGCCATAATCAACGGGCTGTCTTGTCCAGGCAAATACTGTTTTACTACATTAAAGGAGTTTGATAAAGACTTGATTCCCATAGTCTTACGAACCTGCTATTCGGTTTTGTAAGCAAACAACCCTAACATTGGGACTTAGAGTATCAAAGATTTCAATCGCATACACCTGGTCTTAAGCCATTCGGCAGCAAAGCTTCCTACCACCTGATTTTCTGTTGGGCATTGGACAACATCTTGTGTTTGATTTTTATACACGATATATAGTTATTTAATTATGTAACATCTGTCATCTAGCCCCCACACAGTATGTGTTTTCGGGGACTTCATGAAGTGGATATTTTGGTTGTTGAAAGAGTTGCAAATAATCTGTTTGACTTTGCGTCGTATCCACATAGACACACACAAACAAATGAATCACAAACTTTCATTTCATCGAGTTCACATCTTGTCCATTTCAGTTTTTAACACAGTGCCGGCCATGTCTGTACGCGTTCCGGGACAACTGTACTTGTCTGCTCCTGCCGATTTTCAATCGGCCATCGTTTTCCATCCATCCCAAATTCGGAGTACTCCCTCCTTACCTCCTTCCTTGCGTCATACGTTTGAACAAGGCATTTGTGACCTCAAGCGGGTTCAATGCTTATTACAGACGTTTCAATCCTGGCGCCTGTCGTCCTCTGTTGCCAATCAGGCCAAGTATACGAGCCTATGCAATACTGATAACACTGTGTTCTCTACGGATCTGCAGATGTTATCCGTTGCCACCGCGAAATTGATTACTCAAGTCATTGATGAGTTGGCTGATGTTGTTCTGTGAGTTGCATACTTTTTAAAAACAATTCCTCGCTCCCTTCACCTTGGTGAGAATAGTAGATCTGGAATGGGAGCTACGTACCGGCGTTAGTTCAGTTAGACCGTTGTGGCAATAGCTAAGACTCAAGTTGAAATGAGGACACCTAGGTGCTCCATCTATACTAACTGATCTTGGATATTCCATGGGCAATAAAAACCATCAAAATCCGTTCCTGAATTTAGCCTTATTTTTGTACAATTGATTTCGCCCCTATAGCTCTAGAGGAAGTAGCGCTAGTGACTTTTTTCGGGGAAATTTCTAATAAAAGTTCGTTCATTCATAAAAAAGCGATCATAGATACGTGCATAGATTTCATCTAACTGGGTCTCGAAAACGCTGAAAAATGTATGCACTGTCTATCTTATATGGTGTTTATATGAGTGATAAGTTTGAGCGAAGAATTCCTCCCCAACTCCTGTGCCTAACAACTGTTGAGGACTCGGAGCCAAACCGTATTGGTACAGAACAACCAACAAACGTCTCACCACAGCAGCCAGTGCAACCAGCGCCTGATGGAGGTGGTGGCGGCGCAGTGGTTTAGTCGCTATCACCGGCGTGCCGTGGATCCCGTGGTCCGAGGTTCGAGCCCCGCCACCACCACCCGACTTTGGTGGTAGGCAGCTCTGCTGTCGTCCGGTGCAGTGTTTTCCACCTTTTCATGCGAAAATTTGACGAGGTAGATAATCATCTCGAAGTATGCACCTTAGACGCGACGTTTCACTGAAGTTGAGGGGTCGTGCATATAATGCTACCGTTCGTACAGTTCTGTTTTATCGTTGTGAGACCTTGAATTTGCGAGTAGAAGATATCCGTCGACTGGCAGTTTTCGATTTTCGGTGTTTACGTAGTTTAGCCCATGTGGGATGGGTTAGTAATGTGGAGGTAGTCGTGTGTTTGGGAGTTTATCAGGGATAAACATGCTAGCACAGTGAATTCAGATTAGTAGGCTTCGCTGGCTAGGGCATGTATTGCGTATGCCCAAGCATCGTCTGCCGCACCGCGCTTTAATCGCTGTAGCTAATCCGGGCTAGAGGAAATCAAGTGGAGGTCAACAGATGACGTGAAGACGAGGCATAAATAAATACTCGGAGACAAGGTAGAGTGGGTGTCTCTCGTCTTCCAGGTTGGGGGCCGAAAGACTCTTTTCTTATCAGGACAGAACGCTTGAAACGGTATGTTTGCAGATCACTCTCACCGACTCTTAGACTAACGAACCTCAATTCCAATATTCCAGATCAGACAGTCTTCCACCTGCGAGCAAATCGATGCCGCTATCCTCCCACGAGGATAGGATGGGCTGTTTCTGTAATTAAACCTAGGACCAAGTTACTTAGAAGCGGAGAGATAGAGGGCAATCCTGACGAACATCATTTTCCATGGTTAACTCGGGCAAAAAGGCGCCGTAATCTCGAACTTGGCTTCGGCTTTTACCATGAAAAGTTCGCAAAATTGATATACACTTCTCAGGCATACCCTTCAGAGAAAGGCAGAGCCAGAGTTTTGAGCGGTGGACTGAGTCGAAAGCCACTTTCTGATCGAGAAAAATGGAAATGGTTGTCCTACGAAAGGAGTGTCTCTGTTCTAAAATTTGACAAAAAGTGAAGATATGGTCGATACAACCTCGGTCAGGTCTAAAACCAGCCTGGTTCTCACGCGTGCACTTTTCACGCGCGGCAGACAATCGAAGGAGTATAATGCCAGCGAGAACTTCACAGACGATGTTGAATAAACTAATTGACCTCTCAGACATGGTTGAATCTGCGACTGTGGAAAGCGATCCTGTGTAGCTCGCAGAATCATAAAGTCTCGCAAGCCATCACATTATNGAGGGGGGGGGGGGCAAGTGAACACTTCCAATCGCATTTCAACTAGTGAACTGCATCAATCACCATGTCAATTGAGAAGCGATGTGTCCAGTGGTCCTTTTTTCTTGGACGCCCTACCAAAACTCAGGTCCTTAGATCACTCACATCTCTAAAATATCACGAAACATCTGGTCCCGATAGGTCGCCACCGGCAGATTTTAAAGACGGAAGTAGTGCACTAGTAACAGAGCTAAGCAGTCTGTTCCAAAACGCTTTTGAAGTTGAAGAGGTTCCATGTCTATGGAGAAAGTGCATCCTCCCCATCTTAAAAAGGGTCACACACCACCTGTGTTAATCGTAGGGCAATCACTTTAATTTGGATCCCGTCTAGATTTCTGGCACCAACGGTTCCCTAGTTGTTGTCACTTATATGATAGGAACAGATAGTAAAAGAATAATTCGAGTTTCGTTCAGGCCTTGGTTACAGGGATCAAAGCTGCAATCCTCGTCAGATATTCGAAAGCCTCAGTATGGTCGGGGTGGATGTCTAGGGTTGCGGTTGATCACCCTTCCCTTGCACCTCGCAAAACGCTCCCATACGACCAGGCGTTTCAAATAACCTCCACTGAGGAAGACCTACTCACTACCTTTTTGTAGCCGAAGTGTTTTGCCACCAAAGTGAAAGGACGAAAAGCCAACATTCGGAACTATAACCGAGTTGGTGGACCACTGGTAGTTCACCTACGGTATCTGAACAAAAACCGTGATTCCGAACTAACCAACAGGAGACTTACGAACTACACACTTTACAGGTTGTGGCAGTGGTCACCAGATCGATCGGATATCTAGGTGTATTGGGCACCTTGAACGTTTGACTCCGTCTAAAGGGCGTATGATTCGCTGACCTGGACACCCCCCCCCAGTGGATTGCGGTCTTACAGAATCCTCGACTTCCAGTGCACCGTAATATCGCTTTGATCTCTGAAAAAAACGCTAAAAAATACTACTTTCAGTTTCGGTTGTTCCGTTTTATAACCATTGACTTTCGCGCGGTTCCTTGGGTTGCGATTTAATTGACTCAATGCGGGATGCAAATACATAATGCCCACTCAAAACTAACGGGAACGCGTGCCTGCTTCCACTCTGACAAATAACTAGTGCATTTGTCTATCTCGGGATTTACAGCAGGACAGACGAAAATGGCATTTGAGGGTGTTTCAAAGGATTAGTTGATTTGTACAATTATATACAATTATATAATTTTGTCTTCTCTCCTATTTGTTCGTATCCTAACAGGTGGCGTTTCTCTCTCTCTTCTCCATCTGAACGAAACGCCCTAGCCAATGGCGTCCCCATATCAGCCAATCCTCAGTCCATCACTCAGTCACAACTAACCGGTGTTTCCCAAAGTTCTCCGTTAGTCAACCCAGCATTCCCGGCGGAACTGTTACACTATTTGACTCGTCTTTCCGAACTGTCACTGAACTTGGCAGCACTGGCTGCTTGTTGTGTGGACAGCGTGGGACCGGCAATGAGCGCTTCCTCCGTACCACTAGTGGTCACCAACACGTCAAATTCCGCGTGAGTTCGGTTTCTTTTAATCGTGCGAATTCGATGTTTGGGAGATTTCTTCATTGAAAATGGTTGCTTATATCTCCATCTTTCTTTAAGGTCAATGGAGACTCAATGGACATTATCCTTAGTCAACTGCATGATCATCACCGGTGATATGACTGATCTTTCTTGTGGCGGTGTGGGTTCAGGAACGACTATGTCCACGGAAGCCTCAAACTGGTCCTCGTCACTGATGACCGGTGGTTTAATCAAGGAAATTCTTTTTGTTCAACTGCTCCGATACATGATCAGTCGGGGGCACTGGATTCTTGGTCATCAAGATGGTGATTGGTGGACGACTTGGCTTCGCAGTGCGCGTACGAATAACACTGGTAAGCCGATCATCAGCACAGTTATGTCTTTCTTTTTTTAAACTTTTGATCGACTAACTTCTGTGGGGGGATAAGTCGGCTTCCTGGATGTCCCTAATGATGGCGACCCATGCATGACGATCGGTAGCAAGGTTGACGCAGTGAGAAACCCAGTTCTGGTTCCATTTGCGAATTCCATATACAGATTGAGTCCCAGTAATTCCAAATCCGCCTTGATCATGCTACTCCAGGTTTACAGTTGACTACCGAGTTGTTAAAGCCTTCCACGGCACGGTGCGGGGGATACAGCCTGTCGCGAGAGTTGTGTCGGGCCTTCGG